TATCTTTTTATTGCTACAGATAATCTTTAAATTCATTGTAAGTTCCTGCTTAACGCTTCTTGCATTTACAGCCAACGGTCGAAGCGTCAAATTTACAACGGCATACCGTCGTCGTATACGGCATACCTTGGCGGAGGCTACGGTGGTGGCACTTACGGTAGATATTCTGGCGGTGGATACGGTGGTGGTGGTTACGGAGGAGGTGGATACGGTGGTGGTGCCTACGGAAGAGGTGGATACGGTGGGGGTGCTTACGGAAGAGGTGGATACGGTGGTTCCGGTGGTTACGGTGGTTACGGTGGCTCTGGGTATGGTGGCTATGGTGGTTACACTTACAGCAAGTACGGTGGTGGTCAAAACAACAACTACGGTGGCACAAATATCGGCAGTATTAATACCGAGAATGTGAGCGGATAAATTCGTACGGCAATGCTGATGATGAACGCTTTCGAGTCGGAATGGAGGTAGGGAGATGCAGTGCTCAGATTAGGCGACAGCGATTTTAACGAATACGGCAACGATAAATTAACGTGATGTTCATTGAATGTTTATGATGTATATACGATGATGTGATGACAATAAAGGAGTTCATTTCCTTCCATTCCATTTGATTTCATATCCTTACATGTGAATGGAGCTAGCATCGTGCAAGTATCAACAATAGGCAAGGAATGAATTTTACTTGATTCATCCGTTGGATGTTCGAATTCTTTGCGCGTTTAGTCTGTTGTAAGGACCGAAACATACAAATCTATGAATACTGCTGGATTGTTTCTATGTAGTTACCTGATTTTCATTCATTTGGAGCAAATATAACACACCCGTAAACAAATATAATACTCTATGTGGACAAGTATTTACATACAGTTGAAGACGATGACCGAATGAGAGTGAAGGGTCTGAAGATAACAATAGATTAGACTAGTGCCTATTTTACACGATTCAATACTCCCAATTCATGCACAGACACCTTGTTTATTATTAAAATAAGGATTTTGCATCGTTTCAATCAAGTGAACGTCCGAGACGTTATCTCGAAATGGCTATCGTTACAACATTAAGACACTATACTAATCCGTTCCCAATCTGAACAGCAATGCCAAACACAGGGCAAGGAGCACATAGTGAAGATGGTTTCAACGATTGGGTGCTTACAAAATCTGCTTCTGTTGGTGCAGCCAAACTGAATTTCTTGTCACCGTTCGATCCAGCAGAACCTCTAGATTCAGAATAATATAAATTCTACTGAGCAATTTGGCATGGTTGAAGAGATATAGGTATTTTATTAATACTACCTCAGGTGGCACCTTCAAGGCTACCGTCTTCTCAAGTTTGCCCAGTAACATATGAATTTTTTTGCATTAGTCGATCCAGCTGGATCTCTAAATTTAGAAAAAAGTATATTTTGCCAAGCGTATTTCATCATATCCTCCACGAAATATACTTCACTTGATCGAAACGTTACTCTATCTCTTTTGTGTACACATTACATGCACAACTTCATGCAGAACATACTTTCTTGTTGTTTTGCAATCATCCAAAAGGTTAGGAAATAGACTGTTTTGATCTTGATCAGTGGTTTTCATAGGGAGTGGAATAATTCATTTTAGAAAATTTAAAGGTGTCAAGGGTGATGGAGGGGATCGGGA